AAGACTTTGATAAGGAATGCAATGAAAAGGATTACTTGATGCAATTACTTGATTTTTCAGACAAAATGTTTAATTTTGATAATTACTCCTACAATATGTCTGATAATTTTTAAATGTTCAATAAAATTAAATTAGTTTCGATTAACATATTTACTTGATACACTATCAAATACCAAATTAATGACTTTTTAGAATATAAAATATTAGAGTATTTCATTTAAATTGCATGCATTTGATTAGAAATATTGTAAGAGTTTATCCATTTGTTAATTATGTGTTCATTTAAGTTGATAATAAAGTGTTTACTTGAATAGAAATGGGTTAGAGGTGAAAGTAACTCTAAAGATACTAGTATAATAAATTTAGTAGCAGAATATCTACAATGTGCTCGAAAATAACCACATTAATGATCATTTTATCATGATATTACAAAGCAATAATTGCATTAATGTTTCACTATATTTCATTAGAAATGTATAAAATTACAAAATTGAACTTTTTATCCATTTTAATTCATCATTAATACAGTATGTGACTATAATCTAAAATTCGGTACCTACTGTATTTTAAAAGCTCTAATAATTTACTTTCTGTGTACAGTACTTTGCAATTTAATCAGATTAAAGTAAAAATTAGTTCATTTTAACAAAAGAAAGTAAAATAAGTTTTTTATCTACAATTCAAACTTTACGATAAAGAATTGTTATATAAACTGATGTGAATTTACTGCAAATTTACAAATGTTTAATAGAAGACAAAGAATAAAATTCTTCATTAATAATGCTTTTAATAGTTAACATATGTTTCCTATTGTTTGCAAGTTTTGGTGCCAGCAATGCATCGAAACGATGGCCAGACCACGACATTTCGACTCTCAAACTGTTGCAATTAGTACACCGACACGCGGAGAGACCACCTATTGTATTTCCACCTAAAGACACATACTCTAGCTCTAAGTATTGGGTGGAGGGTGTGGGCGAACTGACCACTAAAGGCAAGTATCGGATGTATAAGTTGGGAGAATTCATACGACAAGAGTATAACGATTATTTGGGCGACAAATACTCGCCCCGAGAGGTGTTTGTCAGGAGCTCTATAACCGATAGATGTATTGAAAGCACTTCCAGTCTATTAGCCGGCGCTTATCCACCGAAACAGCCGGACTGGCAGTGGAATAAGGGAGAGGACGCTAAGTTGGGTCTGGTTTGGCAGCCCTTCCCTATCCAGACATTTATGCCACACGAAGACGACTTAGTTTGCAATCAGGTATTCATTAATTGGGACTTTGTTTTAGTTCTTAATTTTAATTGCAATTTGTGTGCAAAATAATAGGACAAAGAGTGTCCGATTGTGAACAAAGAGAGGGCTAAGATCCACGAACGCCCGGAGCTGAAGAAGTTTGTGGAAGATAACAAGGAACTGTATGCTAATATGACAAAAGCTACGGGTTGGGCTATATCTACCATCGCCGATGCCTCCACTTTATACGATACCCTTAAGAT